ACTAGGCTTCAACTAAGTGAGCTTAGTTCAGCCCTTTAGAGCCAATGGATCTCCATATCAATCCCTTCAAAGTTCACTTCGTGCACTTCGAACAACGTAAACGCTCACAAACAAACCACACAAGAATCCAAGGTTACTAGGAAAACGTTATCGTCAAGAGTCTCGAGAGCCTGTAAAGGGTCAGCAGTAAGAATAAAGGGAAACTAGCCAATGAGAAAAATAGGATTAAAAAACAACAGAGGAAAAGAAAATAGCTTCACCGGAAGTCGAACCTGGTTCATCTGCACATGACTTTTAGACCACTGCGCCACGGTATCCGGTGTTCATTTTTGGGTGAAGTAGATTTAAATTTTTCTCTGCCATAGACGGGGTGTGAAAGGGGTGGAGCTGTATTTATCGTGAATTCAAAGATACATTCTGAAGAAAATTAGCTTGTGCATTATTTTGGGTTCATCGGGCCGATCGATCTAGATAAGAGAGTTAGCAAAGACACTGACTCAGAGACAAAGAAATCGATCACACTAGTTGTGGTGATGGAGAATTAAAAAATCAACAGAGGTCCACACTCGCACGGATTGATACTAATAAAGTGCGGTCGATTTAATCAGCGAAAGAATATTTGGAATATAAACGATTGTAAATAATCTGTGAATAGAACCTCCCATTCTGGAGACTAGACGTTGCCTATTTTAAAGGTAAATAAAAAACGAAGTAGTTTTTGATGACTTTCCAAGTCCCGTAAAGAAGATGGCGATCCCTCAACACGGCCCGCAATACAACTCAGAAAAATGACACAATTACAGACAAAATATCAAGACAGTTTACTGAAGTAGATAAAAGCAACAACAAAGCTCACACATGATAAAGTTAGCGATCCATAGATACATTTGACTTGCGTTTGATCTTTTACTCGACCTCTCTTCTTCAAATGACTTTGGTGACCCTTGCTAATTAGCACGAGCGACTGGAAGCTCTCCCGTGTAACGATGTAAGGTCACAATGTCTCGTGCAGTGTGTCAAGTAACGTAGTTAGAAAACAATAGAGTCATCTCCGCCCAACCCCCTGTAAAAAAAAGTAACATAGTTACAGCACAAAGTTAAATACGAAAAAATACGTTAAAAGTAGTCCGATAACATTAATTTGTCTTTACTATTTAGCAGTCAAATTGTGGAATTCAATTCCGAATCATACATAACCACCATCACGTCAGCAAATGGGCTGTCCGATAATAATCATTGTATAACTGCATTTCAAGGATGATTGGTCTTCTTTTGTATTGCAGCGTTCGAAAACATTCGGTCAATATGTAATACCGTAAAATTCCGAAAATAGGCCCCGGGGCTTATATTTTGCAAAGGCCCTTTTTGAGGGGCTTATACTTGGAGGGGTTTATCTATGGAGGGAAATTTGCATTTCAAAATCGATTGGGCTAGCCATATTATTATATAGTTGGAAGGAAATTTACGGTTTTTGCTTTTTTTTTACTTTGTATTTCAGGGCAATTTCCAAGTACAAGCCTCCCGGGGGGCTTATATTTGGAGGGGCGATTTAAGGGAGGGTTTTTGCGTTACGAGTTTGGGAAGCTTATACATGGAGGGACTTATTTTCGGAATTTTACGGTATTATGCTATTCTACAAGGTCAAAAAATTCCTTGCTTCAAGTGTTCAGGTAGTGAGGAGCGGGAAACGTGACGGAGAGCTTTCCGACGACAAAACCGAAACGAAACTCATAGAAGTAACTATCCCGAATCATTTTCCCTCAATTACCCTCGCCCCAACCCGACCTTACGCTCACTTCTCTTTTTCGCGCCGTCAACAAATACCTTAACGCCTTGACAGACCAAGGTCGCTTTCCATTTGTCAGAAATGAACGGCCGGCCCATTCCTAGTCTCCCTCGCAGCCTTTTTTTTGGATGTCACGCAAAAAACGGCTGCGAGGGAGACTAGCCCATTCCCATCTTAATACGAATTTCTCTTTAAACCAAAACTAACCATCTAGATGAGTCAAACCCTAAATATTATAGACAAAGGAGCAAAGGAGATGTTTTTTCAGCAAAACCTCTTGGAAAAAGCCTATTTCATTGCCAAAATGTCTGGTCTAGCCACGGTCCTGCCGGCCAGTTCTGACTTTTGGAAAGGGCCCTAACTGTAATAATCAGCATATATCTTCTGATCTCAACCTATTTCGTAACTTTACATACGGGCACTCCTAACTGTCCTCACTAGACACGTAATTTTTAACGAGTGGTCGATTTTGAACTCTCGCTACCCTCCGGCAGCTTGTTTGCATATACACGTAAACGTACAGAGAAAATCTTTAGCATCATCCAGAACTCGGCTTCGTTCTAGGATTTCTATAATGTAGAGACGCCATCGTACGAAGTATATCCATTTCTTGTGGTTCGTGCCTTCCCGGCTTTACCTGCTCCTTTCAACCTGTAAAAAGATTTCATCAATCGTTTCATTTCAAAATACTCTACAGTACCTATTTACCTAATTGTTTTGCGACTGAAAAGAAGCATAGTAAGGAGCTCTCGTCTCACTGGGCGAAGTTTTCCTGTAGTGGTGTCTCAGCTTTGTTCCAGGGTGTCTTTCTACATTCTAGGAAAAGCTAAAGGGGAAATGAGTGCTGAGAAGGGATGAAAATTGCGTCAGCAGAAAATATTTAAGTTTCCTGACACTGACATTGAAAAAACTACAAAAAATTTTCCGTAACTGTTTTAGTACGCCTTGGCAAACTGTAAATCAGCATAAACACCCACTCACACCTATACAGCAGACTGTAAAAAAGAAGTCGTATTTTTGTAATCCGGGTACTTACTTGTGATGGAAATACACCCCAGTAATGATTAATGCCAGCAAGGAAACAGCTAATGCTCCAATACAAGTCAAGAAGAGAATGCGTAACAGTTCTGGAAGAAGAATTGATTTGAAGTTGAGCTTCAGGCCACTAGCTGTCTTTTTGATGGACTGTTGGTAGACTCTTTTCTGTAGTAAGTGACTGAATTGCCATCCAAACCTTTAGGGGGCTTAAGTGCAGGCATTTTTGAGCGACGCATGTCAACCGGAAGTGAAGCCTTTTCTTTTAACATGCCTTGATGCTACGCTAAGTGTCTTTACTCCTGAACGGAAGATTTGCGCGTGAAATTTGGTTAAAAACCACCGCCCAAGAATTCAAAATACCCACTTCGGGTTGATGTGCGTCGCTCAACTGAACGTTTTTGCTTAAGCTCTCTGATAATTCTTTACTATCCACGTCATCCAACGCCCAGATAATAAATACACTAAAAACTGACAAGTCTATAAAAGGACATGATATCTTCCTAGCTGTTTCACACTGTCGGATTCTTATGCATGTCCAGTAATAATCGAAGCAGTGAATGAGACGATCACATATTACTGTAATTACTTTTAATGGGCCTTGCAAGTGACACTTTCTGAAGAGGTCTTAGAAGTTGCAGCTTTAAAGGGGCACCCCAGGCAGGTGAGGTAACCCGATTAGGTGGGGTAACCTGGCTGTCCATATAATCTCTCATATGATCTCTTCACCTATCATGTAAACGTGATGAAATAAAAATGAGCGATTATATGGACAGGCGGATTACCTCACCTACCTGAGGTTCCCCAACTCCATGAAAACAGGCCGGCCCTTAAGTGGCACTTTTAAAGGGCTTATAAAAGCGGCACTATTAGAAGATGTCATAAGCTAAACTTTTAGCGACTCGTACTAGGGGGGGGGGGGGGGTTAACTTTTTTAGACTCGATGTCAAAGTATGGGGGATACTAGAAACACTATACATGGTCTTACAGCTCCGTGACATACTTTTGTCATTATCTCCAGTTGCAGCCGAGGCTGAAAGTGAAAAAGAAATACGTATAATTTAGTACAACATGCAAAGAAAACATAAGGATGCATTTTTAGTGCGAAAAAGAGAAGTGCAATTTCTTCGTTGACATGGAATTATCATCAGTACTTAATTATCAGAGTATTGTTAAAGTTGCTATGTCAAACATGATACTTTATATGAGCAGTAGCCTAGTGAATGACTGCTGTCCGTGCATCTTTCCGAAGCTTGGAGAATAGAGCGCCCGACTTACCCTTTGTCTAGAATGATAAGGACTCACCTCTTGTCGAGAACTCGAGATTTCATTCCTTGTCCGACGCTCGCGAATAGAATGTGATAACATCCTAACATCGTTTATATTAACGGACAAACCTTTCAACTTTTTCACATGTATCTGGAAAAGGGTTTAGGCCACAGCTGTCTAGTATTTGTTCCCACATTTGGCAATGACTACGAGGTTTGGCAAATCCAAAGAGGAAAACACTACAGAAAGCTACTTTAAAAAGCCAAGATGAAACTTACCAGTTGAACAGTCTTTTCCTTCAAAACCTTCTGAACACTTGCAAGAATAGTCGTTTACTTTATCTGTGCACTGGCCACGGTTTTTGCAAGGTGAGACGCTACATTCATCAATATCTGAAGCAAAAAGAGGAAGGCTTTTACCCATAACGTGCCCCAATGGAATAGTAACCTTTCATATCACTCAACTCCGGTGGATCATGCTTCTATCCTTGTTTGAGAGCCTTGAGAAGTACGTGTGTTTTGTTACAAGCAAATTTAAGTTTATTTCCTCACTAGGAAAGAGTAGCATTAAACATATATTTACCAATTCATTATTTACCAATTAAGCAAACCCCTCAAAAAGAGGATTATTAGCCGGTATTTATTTTAATTACAAATAAATTCAGTACTGAAGAGAATTGAATCACAGTCAAAATAGCCATTCATAATATGATTTTATATTCCTTATATCTGAATCACAAGAGCCCTTACCGACACTAAAATTCTTTCCATGCAAAAAGCAAATGAATAGCCAACACATACTAAGATTTGCGCTTAATGATTTTGTGGTTGTTTTCAAATATATTTACTGTCAGGTGTTCACAATTTGATTCTTTGTCAACGCTAAAAGAGTGACATCGATATTTTCAGTTTCAGAAAAATCCTTTTTCTGATACTTCCTTTCTTTTTCTTGGGACATTACTTGTATAAAATGTTTTAATTAGGTCAAGTTCCTTACCAACACTACAATTCTTTCCGGTGTAACCTGCAGAACAGCTACAGCGGTAGTCGTGCACAAGGTCAATACATGAACCATTCTTTTGGCATGGGTTCTCTACACAGTCGTCAATGTCTGTTAACGGGAGAAGACAAACTTTACTATAAAGTTTGTGTAGACTTTTTCAAGAACCACCAAAACATTAACGACAGATAAAAGGGTAGATAAACTGTAGAAAAAAATGGGAGTATATAAACCAAGTTTTTAAGTAATCTTGGATCTTTTACAGAAGTTATCTAGTTAATATCTTAAACTTTCAATTCGGAGCCATTTCCCAAACATAACCGGCCAAAACCAATAAAAATTGAAAACAGAGGTGCGGCAGTTTACTTTAGAAAACGTATTGAGCCAGAAAATAAAGAATAATTTTTCATAAAACAACGATCTTTACTCACTGATGCTGCAGTTCCTTCCCGTGAAACCCAAGATACATGTACAGCTGTAATTCAGCGGTAGATCTGTGCATGTAGCACCATTCTGGCATGGCACGAGAGCGCATTCATCGATATCTGAAAGAAATTTTTAATGGCTGATTGAATCAAATAAGAAAAATAACTGTTCTTGTAGCCACCAGACAATCCACACTTTATCTACAAGGCTCATGTCCAAGTCTCTCAGTTATTTCAAGGCTGTAACATTTTGCTTGTTACATTTCACGTTAAAAATATTTTTTCATTTTGCGGCAAAAAGTTTTTACATTTCGCGTTAAAAAGTTGTTACATTTCGCGTTAATGTTACATTTTGCGTCAATTGTTACATTTTGCGGCGTAACAACGTCTCATCAGTTCAATTGACAGACATTGATTTTTTTCGTTACCACAAAAGTTAAAAATTTTTGTGCGTTTGAGAAAAGATTAACTGATTGACGTGATTTTTCACTGATTGGTTGATTTTGAATGGGACTTATCTCTTTATATTTTTTCATTAGCTGCTTCAAATTCATTGATAGATATGTCTCCTCCTGGGGTTTACTAAAACATTAACATTGAAAACACATCTAATGACAAAAGCCGAGCTCTGTTTACTGGAGTGCTTTAAATGTACACGAGACAGTACTATTTTTGGTCCTTAGATAAGTTTAATCAACATTTCTGAACTTTCGCAATGTGTCTCAAAAAAAATTCTTGGATTTTGGAACTCAAAAATACTGTTTTTTCCTCCTCAGAAATGTCGCTATCAGCGAGTAAAGTATCAAAGAAAGGCTGATGACGTCACGTGACGTTAGTCAATTTGCACAGGCTTCTCTTCGATTCCGGTCATTGCTTTATGCTTTGAGTTATTAAGCGATGTATCTGACTGTAACAAGGTATAGCGAGGTAAATGAAGATTTTCAAATTGATTGGGGAATTACCAAAAATGACCATCCTGGTATTTGCCGCCATGTTGTTAATTTATTCTACATTCTTGCAAATCATTCTACGTCATACTTGTCAATTTGTCCCCACGATAGGGTAGACACTGTATTTTGGAGGTAAATTCGCCTGTTTTGAAGAGAAAAATAGGTTCTGTGCACCCTTTATAATACTTTTCATATCTTTTCTTTATTTCATTAAGGGCCGCAGGGTAATAAGTCAATGTAACTGTCACGTGTTTGTTACAAACACTTCCGCATTGTATTTTTGCTGTATTATAGTGATGCCACTGAGCTGTTAGTAACTTTTTTGTAACCTCAAGATTTAATACTGTATATGATTATCTTTGACACGTTTTCTCCTAGTTGTTTCTACACATACCATTATCTTGAATAACAACGGTCGTGAAGCCAGTGGTTATTGTAGTGACATCGTCTGACGTAGTAAGTGTGAGATAAAAAGCCTCGTTGTTTTCGGGTAAAAAATCATTTAGAATGTTCACAGGGATACCAGCATACACCTCTCCAGGCTTAAAGATAATTTCCTGATTTAACCGATGATCAAAATCCACATTTATTTCAGCATCGCCATCGCTGGAATTAAATCTAAATAAATACATTACAATTAGGGTCAACAAAAAAAGGTAAGATTTTTTTTTCCTGAAGAAGGACAGAAAATGTGAGGAAGCCTCAAGTCACTTTTGTCCTTACCGTCTTGTTATTAATGTTTACAATAATGTCCTTGGATAAAGCAGTAGGATTTGGATATCGTCAGATTATATAAATAGTTTTTTTAAGGCCAACGCCACACGTCGAATTTATCATGCAACAAACACAACTGAGTGAGTTAAGTTAATAAAGTGTCTCACGTCTGTCACATTTAAATTCGTCTGACTGAGTTTGGATGGATCGACAAACACTTCCTATCGGTCCGCTTAACACGGATAAAACGTGCAAAGATCGCCTCGGGGACTGCCCTTAATCTTCTCTTGTTCTCTTCTTCTCACTTTGTTATTGGTAGTTTTACTAGCAAAAAGTCCGACAATTTCTTCTTCGAAAAACGTGTTAAATCTACCGCCATTTTCTCCATTTCTACCAACAGCAGTAAGCTAACCCAACTTCGTCCTCCAGACTCCTCAGCTGCCGTCCTTTCTTTGGTGGACAGCCATTACTATTGACGTCACTTTACTGGATATCAGAAACGTCTTCTAAATTTGGTCAACGTTAGCTGGTTATCAGAAGAGGTTGCCCTGGGGATTGGAGGCACTCAGTGACCGAAAAACATTTTGAATGAATAACAATCAATAATAGTGGTCTATTCCCCTCTGATAAATCTCGATATTTCACTGAGTCTAGTCCAATAGTTGTTTAATGTCATCAAATCGTAACTGAGCAATGCAAAATTATATATTTCTAGAAAGTAAATGTTTCATAAGTTGACCTACTGTAAAACCGACGCTAAAAAGATGTTTCCGTTACGAATTACAGGAACAACAACTGCTCCAGCTTCTTCTTCCACCTCTGTATTGTTCTGGGCAAATTTTGCTTCCACCGCGGAAGGATTAGCCGCTATAAAAGATCGTAAAACAAATCAAAAGAAGAGCAATTAGAAGTAAAAGAAGATTTAAGCAGTTTAGCTTGCTGCCTGGTATTGAAGCAAGGAAGCTGGAAATTTTCTCGTCTTTTTTTTCTGCTACCCACCCATCATTGCAAAAAAATGGATTAATCGGGTTCTGTAAGTAAGTACACCTCCAGCATTTTGCAAATAGACGTTAAGATAAACGTACTTTCATTCACTGGTGGAAGGCATATTTTCGATATAATTTATTTGCGATAAGGACTTTTCACATATTGTTAATGACATCTGAACGGGCAGTTTTAGGAAGGCTAAGGAATGAAGCGCAAACAATGAATAAATGTTCTTTAAGTGCAAATGTTGTAGAGCGTCACTTGTGCACAAACCGAACATGCTAGCGCGCAACCTTTTTACAATGCGCATAGTAGGCACATTTACATAGTCAAGAACGAAGCGGTATCATACAACATACATGCATTCTTCTGTTTGTTGCGGTTAAGTAGCCTGCTTGCATTTGTTTGGGCTCACTAACCACAGAAACCACCAAGCTCTATCGGAAACTGCATACAAGTACTCTCAATTTCACCGTTATTTTGGCCAAGGACACTGAAATATGCTATTCTTCATGTAGTCTGTAGGCACTAAATGTTACGTAGCTGCGGCCCGTAATTAATTTTACTGGCCCCGAAGACATATTTTAAAATCATTATTTAAGAATTGTTAACCACGTATCTAATCGCCTAGCCAGTCTATTTGTTGTTGGTGGTCACGGTGGTGGTTGTTGTCCCTTTTCTAACTGAAAACTTCCATCTTAAATGCTTAAAACAGCTTCCGTGGCCCGGGACCTTCAGTCTATCAATTTCTTACAATCTTACCTTGTTCTCGACATTCTTCTTCCAACTGTTTTATTTCCAGCTCAGTTAACAGGTTTCTTATTATCTGAAAGTAACTCACACATATATCTCTCACATTTCCACTGTGAGCTAGTGAAATATTAACGCTTTCTCCACTGTTATCCCAATTTATAGTCGAGTTCGGATCTGCCACCCTTACACTGTCAAAATACAAGTTAAGTTGATGAAGGGATTTTGAGTAAACAATGGCAACATGGACCCATCTGTCCACGCCTGGATATGTTCCTTTTCTTTCAAGAAGATTTGTAGAATTGCCGCCCACAATGAATGCTTGGCCTTGCAACCGTGAAACAGTCTTTGTGACAGTAAACTGTACATGGTATTGTCCTTGGCTCACAGGAGTGGAATATAATATTTGCACCTCTTCATCTCTGGCCACTGTTCCATTAATATAAGCCAGAAATGAAATGGTAAATTCGTCGCAAGTTTGTTTCAAACACTCGTCGGCAAATTCACCAAGAATGACTTCTGTTGCTGATGGTATACAAAGTCCACGAAACCCTTCCTTGCGGCTGGCTGTGGCGCCAGATGGTAAAAGATTGCTGTTAAATGACTGATTGTTCGTCGGATCATAGCCATAAAGAAGGCTCGCTCCAGTTGGAAACAGATACCACAGGTAGGATTCTAAAAAGAATACATGACAGTGTTGTTGTTACTTCACTGGCTGCTAAGTGAGACATTAGAAAAAAAGTACAAATTACACTTCTCATGTTAGTAATACACTCTCAATTCACGGGTAGCAAGCAGCCTCAAAGGCTTTTACATATCCTGAGTGAGTACAGTAACTGAAGAGGGATCGATTTTGAACTGTTACAATTTTCTTTACCTATCCCCATGCCAGCTACATTGCTCTAACTCATGGCTCTAACTCAGTTTGATAAGTATTTGTCTCAGCGTAATAGGCTTACTCAACATCAAAGCGGGAATTGCAAGTATCACTCTGCAGAAACCTTAAGCCTGCTTATTACTAATCACATATTCAGGGCCATGGAAGAAATGAAGTCCTGATAGACCTTATCAAAGCATTTGCATATAAAAACACGTCTCTTCAAACTGCGTAATCTGGGCACGTCAAATCAGTTCCTTGAATGGTTCAAAGCTACCTTACCAATCGCAAGCAGTCCACTCGACTTGGCGCTTAACGATCTGAAGAACTTACAATCACACAGGGAGTACCCCAGGGATCCATCATAGGACCCATGTTGTTTGGTTTTTATATGAAAAATCTACCTTCCGCAGTCGAGTCTCCGAGTATCAATTCCTACGCTGACGACACAATGGTTTATCTTTCCTTTTCTTCAGAGGATACCGATTCCTGTCTTGCCAAAATCATAGAAGACCTTCGCCATATTGCTGGTCGGAGTTGCTCGAAGCAGTTAATGATCAAATCAAGTAAAACTGAACTAATTTTGTTTGGAACAAGGTAGCTCCTGAACAGAGTAAAGGGCGTTACTATAACTCTCCTTAGTCAGGATCTTATTTCTGTACCCTCAGTCAAAGTCTTGGCCATTATACTAATGATCTGACTTCGCCCCTTCTACGTACGTTTAGGTCAAGCACCTATTTTCTAAACCCCTACTTTTAGCTATTTTAACTCATCTTGTCTTTAGTAAGTTCCTATACACTTTCAAACAGAACATACAGAAGTTACAACTCGTAAGTAGTTTGATCATGTCTCACCGTTCCTTTAGGAATTAGGATGCCTTTCCTTTCTTTAAAAAGATCAACTGCTGGTGCGCGATGTACATGCAAATGTACAAAATTGTAAACGGCTATACCCCGTCGTATTTAAGTAATTAAAGTAGCAAGAGATCAGATGTGCATTGTTATAATACTAGACAAAGTGTTAATTTAGATCTTCCCAGTGTAAAACAACCACTACTCAACGCCCTTTTCAATTTTACTCAGTCAACATATGGAATTCTCTGAGTGCCAACACAAGAAACAGTCAATCCTCCGCCAGTTTTAAGCGCAATGTTAGTGTGAATTATGTACCAAACTATAAGTCTAATTTTGACTTTTTTTTAAAGATAACTTTGAATACTGTTACGGAATACGTATATACATAAAACGTGCCTGAAAAAGGCCCAGACTATTTGCACAGAAACCTGGCTAAAACCGGATTTCTGGTGATTGCGGTGAGAATTTTCTTTCTTAATTTGTCCCATCGTTAAGGTCAGTCCCTGAGCTAACTTGCCATGGGATGGGAAGGGGCCTCCATGTCAATCCTCAGCGGCGGGGGGAGGTTCTGCAAAAGCGTCGCATGGTCAGTTAATCTCTCTGGAGAATCAGTTCACTGGCCATGTTGGCCGATTTGCCAATGAAAGGAATCCCCTCACCGATCTGCTTGGCTGCAAGGCTGTGTCAGGACAGGGGATGATGTGGCCTTGAATTCTCTTCTTAGGGCTAGTTTTAGTCTTAGCTTGAGCTGCCTCGATCTCGTGGGCCTTAAAGCAGCCAGAGATGGCCAAGTTGAGAGTGTCTTTTTGATAGACTTGAATATTTCTTTGCTAACCAGGGACCAAGAGAACAGTCACCATAGAGGGCTTATGAGTAAGAGCTCAATTTCTTTAAAATATTGGTCATTAGCCCCTTTATTTAAGTCAAGTTAAGCTGTGTGGCCTAGAGTTGCCAGCTGATGCGATTTTCCTAAATTCGGCTAGATGTATAAGTAGCAATTATTCCACGAATGCACTTTGGATATGAGATGGTAGAATAGCCAACGAGGCGCGTATCGCCGAGTTGGCAACAATCATCTCATATCCAACAGGCGCGAGTGGAACAAACGCCCACAAAATATGAAGAATCCCTCCCGACTTTATTTGACATTTAAAAACAACCGATTTTCAGCTTGTTTTTAATTTTGAGCAGACTCGTACAATTACCACATTTTGAGAGCATGATGTGGTAATAATGGCTCGTATTCCATGATGGCAACGCCGATCAGAGCTCTAGAATTGCATTATCCTATGATTCAGTTTCTAATAATATGTAAATTTTAATGTTTTAGCTTAAGACATTTACCTGCAATACTCTATTGTAACTTATTCTTATTTTCCTTCTTTTCATCATTAATTGTAAATTAACTCTGAAAATCCCTTAGGGAGACAATAAAAACTACTGTACATCATGTTTGTGTTAAATTGTATCAAAGACGCCCCAGCATAATAAATAAATGGGGTTGTTCGGAAATCTAAACTTCCTCCATTCGTTATTTGTTTGGAATTGTTACTCTTATATTTAACACTTTATCGTAATAGGTATTGTTAATTGAAAGGAAAGTCATTCTTGCCTTTAGAGCAGTTTTTGCCAGTGTATCCAGGGACGCAAGTGCAGTTGTAGTCATTAATCAAATCATTACAACTTCCTCCATTCTGGCAGGGGCTATGAGTACAATCGTTGATATCTATGAAAACAGACATAAAATAATGAGCAAAAAAATAAATAGATGAAGATAAAAATAGTACCTTGTGCACTAAAACAGAACCGTTTCTTTAAAGCCTTGCTTATTATGTATCAGACATTGTCAACTGACTATCCTTTAAGAAGATAAATAAAATAAAAAGCTTCGATCAGTTGCCCTGTAAGGTAATCTAGTGAAGGGTCATATTATTAGCCTCCGTTGTAGTCGGACTTGTCACTCGAAATCCAGATAGAGAACTCGATAAATCGGCACCATTCTTTTTTCTCGCTTGCGACGGGTGCAGCGAGTGCCGCTGGGCGAACAGATTCAAACATGTAAACCACAAAAAGCACATGATATAGTCTCTGGCGTCCTGAGAATCACACTAACAGCTTCAATTTTCGGACAGTTAAGGAGCACTTACTAATACCACAGTTTCTTCCGGTGAATCCCAGTGGGCATGTACAGTTAAAGCCGTTGAACAGATCAATGCAGGTACCTCCGTTTTCACATGGCCCACTAGAACAATCATCTATATCTGTAGGGGAATATGAAAACAATTTCAGCACTTCATATGTAACTAAGCTTAACTAACACATTAATACATTCACCCACTCCGTTCGCTGTATATCTCTTGTTCTGTTTAAAATGTTGTATATGTTTTTTCTTGAGGCATAGAAGTACCTGTGTTTAACCAGGAGAGAGGCGATGTTAATTACGGGAAAGGAACATACTGGATAGTATAATTCCCTTGAGAACTTCTTAATAACTCGCACCCTATTTGCTAAGAATTCGAAAAAGAAACATTTGGGGACAAGAAAAAGGGGCCCTTTATATTACTATTTCAAAAGTTAAATACAGTTAAATATGTCGCACAATGTCAGTAATAGAAAGCTGCTGTCCAAACCGATTAAAATGTTTATACTGAGCTATAAAACACTGTGTAGATTACATAAGCTACCAGATAAAAAGACCAGAAAACCTTTTTACTGTAAAAGCGCTTGATCAGAATCTGTCATGATCTGTACAGATATCTAGTACATGCAAAAATTTCTCTTAAAAGGTTGGTTCCATAAAAAGAATGAGTAATCTTCCCAGGAAGGTCAGAGAAGAAATTTACTTTAAGATAATTATTCCCTGTGTAGTCTATTCTATCTCTGTCGGGGGAACAGAAATTGCTCCCCAGCCTTATTAATTGGTAAAACAGAGAGAATACATGCTTAGAGCAGCCAGAACCATATTTAATCTACTACCAGAGTTAAATAACGAGCAAAGTCGAGCTAGGGCTGACTAGCAACCATTATCCAACGTATATAAAAGAAGGTTATTAACCTGCTCTTATGCATCAAGAATACTATGGTAATATCGAAACTGAGATCGACAACATTTTTAAGAAGAAGGAGGACAATGGATACGACATGAGCAGAAGGTTTCAACTTGAAATCGTCCGAAGTAAATCTGAAGTAGGCAGAAATAGTTTAAGGTATAGAGGAACACTAGTAATCTGGAACAGTCTCTCCAACGATCTAAAGGAACTTAAGAATGCAAAGACCTTTAAGCTTAGCCTGAAAAAGGCCCGGAACATAATTAATAAAACCAACCTCCAGAAAGAGGCTGCTGTCATTATCAACAAAAAAGAATTCAAAGTTTTTTATATACTTTTAGGCTGTACCCTATTATGTTCCAATGATGTGTTTAGTTATTTACTTATTTATCATACACTGGAATCATAGAATTATAAAATCTGCATGGGAATGTTTTCATAGGATGTATTTCAGGATATTATCGTATTATATCGTATTATTTGTATCTGTAAGTAGGAAATATATTTTTTGCAGGTCTACATCAGCTTTTTATTTACATACATGTATTACAACATAATATTATAAGTAGTTTTTAAGTAAGACTCTCACTGTTCAGGGGCGGATCTAGGGGGAGGGTGCGGGGGGTGCGCACCCCCCCCCCCCTTAGATGACCTGCGGTTTTCTAATACAGCTGGAATTCTCCCAAAAAAAAAAACCAAGTGGTTTATTGGTGTTGAAGTAGAGCAAGAGACAAGTGCACCCCCTCCTAAAAAAAATCCTGGATCCGCCCCTGCTGTTTTTCTTTACGTAAGGAATTTATTGCCGTAGCAGTGTCAAAATATAAGACGTATTAAAACAGAGAGCCTTTTTAACCGGTAAACTTACTTTGAGAACAATTATTCCCTGTGAATCCCATTTGACATATGCAGCTGAAGTTGAGATGAAGATCTATGCAGGTCACGCTGTTAACACATGGACTGGAAGCACATTCATTGATATCTAAATTTTAAAAAAGGGTTATTAAGTAACCATAGCACAAAAGTGTAAGACATGAAAATGCCGTGTTTGCATTTAAACTGGCTAACGTTTCGCCAAGGCTTACGTAAGCGTTCGTGTCTGGGGCTTCCCGCGATCCCTCCTCGACAAAGTCTTCTCTTCTTCTTAATTAAAGTACGTATGGCTGGGCGGGCAGGACGGCGTGCGCTAACATCAAAACCAAAATTTCTCTCATCGATAAGTCACCAAATGCTTTTATAGGCACGGAGCTTTGGGTGCGGAAGCCCTGCTTCAAGATAGAATACAGTATGAAAACGTGGTTGGTCTCGGTTATGGAAAAAAAAACTTTCTCACAGTTGAAGGGAAATTTAGTTTTTGAAATCTTAAAAATAACCGCGACGGATAAGCGATAACATCAGTTGCAAGAATTAGGCCGTCGTCTTTGTGCTCGCCAACGAACAGGGTAAATGGAACAGGCGAAAGTCATGTCGGCAAGCGTGGTTTAGGGAAAAGGAGCTCACGCCATCTTTGCGCTTTCTCGCACTATAAAGGAGAATTTTTAAAGGCTATCTTATTAACATGAGGCAATCCACTCGGCAAAAGGTACGACAAACCAAAGAAAGTCCTAATAGTTAATAACAATGTTCATACTAATTTAAATGAAGATATGATCGTCGCAGTTGCAATAGCAGTTTCAGCAATTGCAAATAAACCCAAAAATAATATCGGGGCTTTAACTGAACGGGATTTAGACACGCATGGCCTCTGCGTTAGCGCTGCAATGCTCCATCAACTGAGCTATAAAGACGTATATTTTAGAACAGGTCAATTAGGTGAATTCGTCTTAACCATGAAAGAAAAGAAAATAGGATAAAGATGACGTGAACTGCGGAAAACAAATTTCAACGAAAATATGATCGTCGCAGCTGTAATACCAATTTAAGCAATAAATTGCAAATTAACCCGAAAAAATTTCTGTGGTTTAATATTCATACCATTGTCTAGTATAGTGATATTCACTTCCACTTCCGAGAACGTTGTTACGTTATCTGATGTAGATATTGCTACAGATAATGTCTCGTTTCCTTCACCAGAGATTACATCGTCTATGATCTCCACTGAGATGCCAGCAGATGTCTCCCCAGGCCGGATAACCGCTTCACCACTACCTGGAACTCGAGAGAAGTCAGCCCCGGCCGTAGCAGTGATTTCTTTTATTGAATAACTTAAAAATAACAAAACAAAAACAAAACAAAAGGAAAGGAAAAAACATTTTGGTAAAAAATATTTTCTGCTTACGTTTTCATACCGTGTCTAGATCTGCCTAAGGGTGTCAGAAATACGCTTAAATGTATCCTCCACTGTGGAGTTATTTCCTAAAATCGGAGTTAACAACTCAGCTACAAATCAAAGGAAGAAGACGAAGAAGGAAATTCACCTGCTAATGAATATTGTTGTTTGAGTGATGTTTACTAAAGATTGTCTTAGTCACTTACTTGATTACTGAAGCCAAAACAAGGTTTCCATTTCGCGGTAAAGTCAACGTAAGATTCCCACTATCTTCACTTGCAACAATGTTTTTCTTTGTTAATTCCAAATGTACCATAAATGGGCTGGTCGCTGGAAGGATTGAGAACTTAAGATAAAATTAAAAAACTCTAACATGTCCTTACTGCAAAAACATTTTACCTGAATACAAACAGCGAAATCAAACGAAAATATATCCCGAATTTTATAAAGTATGTTGTAAAACATATATCTACCACATAAGAGGGAACTCTTTCAAGAAAGTATTTTTCGAAAGGACAATTTTCAAGGCAGCTTGAGGAAAGAAGAGGCACTATTTACCGAGAGAAAAAACATTCAACCTTTTTCCCCATTATTAAAGCCAAAAATGACCTCTCCAGGAAATTGTGTACACCGCACTAACTTAGTTGACTTACCTTGCTCTCGACTTTCTTTTTCTAGTTGTGCCACTTCCGTGGCAGTTAGGGTGCCCTTGATGACCTGCAAGTAACTGACAAAGATGTCATGAACGTTTGTCCTTGAACCTAATGATAAGTGAACAGTAGAGTTGTCACTTTGCCAAGGAGAAGATACCACAGCGTCACCAGCTGTCACCATAACGCTGTTCACATACAGTTCAAGACTGGTGGAAACTGCTGAGTACACAATAGCCACGTGAACCCAGGTATCAGTTGCAGGAAAAGCTATTTTTCTATCAAGAATAGTTGAAGAGTTACCGCCAACAACATACGCATGTCCCTCCAGGCGCGCAGCAGTCCTCCTTACAATGAATTGCACATGATAGGAGCCTCGAAATGATGAGTTAGAGTCCAGTACTTTCATACTTTCTCCCACGTTCACTGGCCCCACGATATAAACCAAAAATGAAACACTGAAGCCACTACAGACAGTGGCGTTCTTAAAACATGGACTGGCGAAATCTCCTAAGTCGATTTCGCTTGCCTGTGGTATTTGGATGCCTTGTACGTTCTTCTTCGTGGCCACTTTTATACCAGAAGACAGCTCATCGCTTTCAAAAGACATGTTTAACATTGGCTCGTAACCGTAGAGGCGATTTTCACCGACTGGAAACAAGTACCAAGTGTAGGTGTCTGCGAAGCACAAAGGAGGTACATGTGGGTATTACATCAGAACACCAATGACACTTAGGCTTAATTAGTATTATTTATCCAAAATGTTTCTCCATTTTGGCTCAAATCTCCCGGCTAATTCTTCATAGCCAGTTAGTGTTGACCAAATTTGGAAAGCGTTTCCTATATCCGAATAAATGAGGTTAAAACTGCTAAAACGGTAGAAAAAGGACCATAACAGAAAAAAAGTCGTCGTCTTGGTAGAGCTGTAGAAAAAGACGGAACATTTCACACGTTTCACGAAGAAGAAATAGCTGAATTACTACCTAAGAGGAACAACTTAAATAAAACATTAAGTCGACGGATGAACTCTGGTATTTGAAGAATATATGCACAACTAAACGTACCGTCGGCACGTACCGTCGCCAAACAAAATTAATTATCGTTCATGTTTTGAAAACCAAAGATTAAGCAAGATAAAAGTATTTTAAAAAAAGGGCAAGAAGTCAAGACGTTTTCTTATAGTATCTTACCTAAAGTGCAATTTTTTCCAGTATAGCCCGGAGTACAGGAGCAGTTGTAGTCTGATACCAAGTCAGTGCAGGTTCCATTGTTTTGACAAGGACCGCTTGCACATTCGTCGATATCTACAAGATGTTACAAATTAATCACTGATTGTTGTTCATGGTTGTTGTTGTTGTTGTTGTTCTTTTTTGTTTGTTTTGTTTTGTTATTGCTTTGCAATATAACAAAATTTCAGTTGATAACCATGCCGAAGTATTGTTCTGGTCGGGATGTTTTACGCGTCACAAACGATTAAGACAAAAAAAGTTAGTATTTATTTAACCTGAAGGTTCACATAATATCTTATCAAGGTTCCTTTACCGTTAAGGCCCTCACATAAACACCGCAATGTAATGGATAAATAAATAAGATAAACTCGTTAGTATTGATCAAGTTATAATTCTTCTGATCCTGACATCCCCTCCGATAAAGTTAGTGCCCAGTTTTGGGATATACAATGACGGTATATATCTAAAATATCTTTTTACATGGATGTCAAGGAACTCAAAACTTAAAAATGTAACATTTGATGTAGTCAATCTCCCTTCATTTTCTTATTACAAAACTTAGACGAAGTGCCTGGCAAATAAGAACTGCTTCTACAAGTATAGGAAATAGGCTGTCTTATCCTTTATCCTCTCATGAAAAATCCGAATTCAAGGATACTGGAACTATTTGCTTGTGGAATCCAGAATCTTGGGCTTTGGAAACTGGAATGTTTTGCCACCGAAAAGGAATCCGGAATAGTGCCTTAGTCCGAAATCCCTAGTTTAGAATCCAGCAGATTCCTAGACAGACTTGGAATATCTTACATGGTGGGATTACCAACATTGCAATCCACAGTATTTTTCTGACCTGACTGTACTCACCGTCATCCAGGATAACTAACTGAACACTCTCTTCTGTCACACTAGTGATACCATCTTGTGATGTTAAGTTCAAGATTAAGGTTTCGTTTACTTCTGGCGATGTGTCGTTTACGATGTTCACTGACAAACGTTTAACAACCTCTCCAGGTTTGAAGACGAACTGTCCATATGACAAATCTTCGATGGTGAAATCCGAAACGTTGGACAAAGTACCCTCTGACAGGGTGTACCTGAAATGATTTAGAAAAATTGAAAGAAAAACTTTTGAAATCTGCATTTTAGTAAGATGAAGATAACGATTTCCTGTTATGTCACCTCCCGTTTTACTCTCAGAGTATGGCATGCATCGCCCACGATTCAATTAAGGGAATTTAGCGTTTACATAAAATGCGTCAAGACCTCAAATTCATTGTTTTTGTTATTGTTGTTGTTGTTGATGATTTTGTTTTTCATTTCTGCGAGCGGCTTTCTACATTACATACATAAAAATGGCACACAGCGAAACAATTTACATTGATGCACTTACATCACGACTGATACTACACCAAGGTTGCCTTCTCTATCGATAAAGATAGTAATGACTCCATCTGACTCTTGAAAAACTCTTGAAGACTGCCTAACTGTCACTGTAGTAAGATTTGGGTTTGTGGCTAAGGAAGAAAAAAACATAGTAAGCTGAGGAGATCATTAAAAATCATATAAAAAACAGTTTAGGTTTGGGTAAAACATTTTTTTAGCAGAGATAAGCTAAGTCGTCAGGCGAGCGTACCTTGAGTGAAACTTTCGTCCTTTAAAGTGTTGACATCACCTTGTATCGCGTATTCAAATACCTGTAAATAGCTCGCGAAAAAACCATTGGAGCTCATGGAAGCCCCTAGAGTCATGCTGACTTGTGAGATAGAACCGTTGAAGTAAACTAAGGAGGCATTCAATTTGTCATTTGTTCCGTTTAAGAAAATCTCGAGATCACCTGGCCCTTTGTAGATAAGTGCTACATGAATCCATTTTTCGGTGAAGGAAAACACAGCAGAGGCCATTGCCTCGTTGAGATCCCGAGAAACAATGGCAACAGCCTTGAAATGAGAGTTATTATTTGAAACAGTGAACCGAACACGATGACTTGCATCTGTTATAGGCATCTGATGAATGATATCTACTGTCTCATTCTCTGGAATGCTTCCATTCATCTTGAATAGAAAGGAGACGGTAAAGTTATTACAGACTGCGGCATCCGCAAAACAACGAGACGAGAAATCTCCCAGGGTGACCTTCTCTCCTGGTGGTACCCAGAGCCCATTCACACCGTTATCTTTAGTCACAAGAGACCCATTAGGAAGAAGCTCGCTCATAAATGAAAGGTTGGCTTGCTGCTGGTATCCATATAACCTGTTACCGGCACTAGGAAACAGGTACCACGTGTAACGATCTGCAACAAGACAAGTAAAGCGCCATTAAATATGATATAAATCCTACAAGAATGTTTTCAACCTACGTTCTTTAATGACAAAGAATTATAGCAATTTTAGAGATAAAAATGCCGTTACGTCCTCCAAAATGAAGCGATATGTCAGAATGGAATGTAAAAGGCTTATTACTATAAGTCAACTTCGGTGCAAAACCTGGTTAACAAAGTCATATAGGTACTAGACGGTTGAGATGACAAAATACGGAATAATAAGACTTTATTAAAGACAAAAAATTGGTTTATTTCGCGCTCATTTGTCGAGAGCTGTTGTCTATGTAAGTACAGATAGTGGAAATGACATAAGACTTACGCAGTTGGTTGTTATCTGTCTAACTTTTCCAAGAAACAAACCCAAAAAGGCACGTTTAAAATTCTCAATGTTTGAGAGAGATGTTTTTTTTTTTCAGTCAGTAACACAGGCGGGTACTGCTAATACGAGTCAAAGTTATGACGCTCTAGTTACCGGACCAGATGCTCTACCAATAAGCTACAGGTGACTAATGGCAGCTCGTCACTAAACTGGGTTCATGTGACAAAAACCGGATTGACATTCTAGTCAGTAGTCCTAGAATTTGTTGTCGCTAATAACTTGGTGGGAAACTTAATCCCAATATCGAGATAACAATGCACTCTCGCTTTAAGACAGAGAAGTAGCCGCCTTGTTCCCCGTGAAGTTAGGCCGAAGGCCCTGGCTGTGCTGAGAGAGGTTTATAAATTTGTCGAAATTTACCTCGCGCGTAGACCGTGTGTGGGTCGCTGAGCGAGAGGTTAATACCTTTTCGCTGTATTTCTATCGGGCTTGGTTGGTGTTTGTCCTTGACCGCATCAATACAAACGCAACCCGGTTGTTTTTTTGCGGCCGTTTTTAGCGGTTGAGAACTGCTTTAGGCGATAAATTTTGACAGCAGAAGCACTTTAAAGAGAAAATGGAAGCGATTTGGACTCCATTTGTTTTGACGCGGTTAACGACGAACACCAACCAAGCCGATAGAAATATAGCGAAAAGGTTAACCTCTCGCTAAGCGACCCTCAGCGACTCGCAGCTTCTTTTTGTTCTTTCCTTTTTTCTCTGTAGGCTCCTTTCCCTTTTATTCCTACTGCTGGCCTTTAATTTGAGCTTCTCGAGATACACTGATTTTTCAGTTTGGAGAGTCAAACAAGATGATCGTTGAGGCGGAATGGCGTACGTCCACTTTAATGATAAATTAAAACGTGTGGGTATATTTTTGATGTGATCATTTTCATCGATCATCCCGTTATTGAGATCATGATGCTATTTCTTCTCATTTAGACCCCGTCCACACGTATCCGGAGATTTTTTTATCCGCAAATTTTTTTATGCGGATACAAAAACATCTGCGTCCACACGTAGCGTATACGAATCGTATACGACCGTCCACACGTTTCCGATTCGTATCCGGATATCTCAAAGGATTAGTCAACAGAGCATGCGCATAACAAAGAAAGCTGAGCCTGCGATAATTTTGGCGCCAAATTCGCAGCTTTCTTGTTTGTTTACTTGAGGTTTCAACACGTGTGAGCTTGAAGAGCGAAACAAATTCTTGTTAAAAAACACCATAATGCTTAGACGTCTTCTCAAGTAGTTAAAGTTTAGATTTAACATTGCAACATTTAGTTCGAGACACGCTATTAGGCTTGTTAGTAGTCCTAGTAGCATTGAACACACAACGTTTCTGCTCGCCGCCATTTTGGAAAATCTCGCTCGGAAAAAGACTGGTTCTGATACTGTGAAGTCAGCGTATACAAAAATATACGGATACGAGCGTCCACACGTATCCGGATACACAGCGTATACAGAAATTTCCACTCTGGAGAGCGTATACAGAAATCTCCCGATACACCGAGCGTATACGGCGGACATGGGTGGACGCTAGGTGTATCCGCATAAAAAATTTTGCGGATACAAAAATCTCCGGATACGTGTGGACGGGGCCTTAGAAGAAATTCTCACCCTTTCTAATTAAGAACTACTGTTCGTTGTTTTTCGAGTATTTACAAAGACTATTTGCAGTGAATTTGGAAGTTTAAAGGGGAGGACTGAGAAATCTTATAAGTTTTGTGTGATGGTAACGATGCCAGCAACGAACGGCCAACAAAGAGAATTACACCTTGATGCAGGGATAGAGATTTTGTCGGCTTATTTGTTCGTTACACATATCCGACAGCTTTTGTCCCCCTAGTTTCCCTGACGTCATACTCCCCAAGAAAAAAGAAAAAGAAAAGCGTGTTATCAGCGATCATTAGCCTATCATTGTTGTATAAGAAGAACGTCGATGTTTCTGGAAACGTTTTTGACGCAATGCGCCTGTAGATTCTTCGAAAAGCTATGTAAAATATGCATTATTAAAAATAAGAACGTGTTTTTTCATATTAATAAACACGAAATCGCCAGCTATTTATATGTAAAAAACTATAAATCACTGAAATAATTGCCTTACTTTTTTTAAGCTAACTAATTGTTTAAGGGTTGATTAAATAGAAATTCATTTCTTTCCGAACTATTTCTCGCGTTTCTGTTTTACGTACATGTAGCTGATCTTGCAATAAAAAACATAAAATCATCATTGGCAATCAGAGTTATTAAAAGCGGCACTAAATTAAAGGGACACGGGACAAAGGACAAATCCTGGCGAGATTTTCAGAAGTAAGAGAGCTGATGGCTATGTTTAGTTGAAAGTGTGCTTAAGGATAACGTTCACTGTAACCACACAAATGATAATTTGCTTGACTAATTCCCGGGGACTAATTAAGTTAAACACAAGGATAAGTAGAGATCATTTATGAACTTTAGCGTTGCTATTAAAAAATTTAGGAGGACCTGCCGATTAGGGGAAAGTTCCTCAGTGAAAGAATAGACATTGCTACTGTTAGCACTGATCGATCGTTAAACAGTGGCACGTTTATTAAGGTGAAAACTAGGACTACTAGTGGACAAATGGCCTATTATAGTTTGTTTCAATTAAATGTTTCATTCCATATTTTCCGTGTGTTTCAAATTAGCCTTTTTACATATGAAATATTCAAACTTGGCAAATTCAGAATGAAACAAGTTGTAACGTGAATGGAAGCAATTCCAATGCTAAAGGAGCCCCTATCGAATAAGCGAACATCAACAGCAAGACCCGGGCACCAGCGACCACCCTCAGCCAAAGAATGAACCATGAATTTAAAACAAGTACGAATGAACTTGAAACTGTTGGATAGTGTTCCTTCCCCGCCTGTCTCCAAAGAGTAGACAATGCATGGAAACCGCATCGAATATCATAAACCTTCAAAATGTATACAGCTTTTGCCTGGAGACTCACGACTCACACAAATTCAGGGGTGGAAACTTTGGGCTTTCAAATAAAAATTGCAGTATGGAATCATTTAAACTTTGAAGTACAGCAACACATTCGCTTTATTTGTAATTTAAGCGAAAAATAAAATCAGGTAACAAATTTACAGTTGAAATATAAATAATCTCATATTATATTGTAGTGTGTTTCTAAGTTTTCAGATTTTGTGACTCATTAAGCCGATTTTCACCTCTCAATCGTCATCATATCTTTGACGTTTTTACAACGACTACCCACTTTCGGCTGTTGTTAGTTGGAAAAGCCGAAAATTTGGCTTTTCTTTTCAAAATACCTCTTAAAACCTCTGTTCTTCTGTTGACGGGGCTACCCATAATTACACACATTATGTGCTGTTTTTATATTGGTCCTGTAATAACGGTTTAAAGACAATGTTTTTTATTACAATAACACAATCGCCTTGTTAACAAATTAAAGTAAAACTCGCCCAAGGTCACTAGAAACATTTACTTAATTCTCCGCCAGTTATTTAAAACGTTTGAGAATTCTTTGGTACAGAATAGATAATCTTTCTTCGTTGTTCATTTGCCCTTTGCAAACAGTATATTGTAAGTTATTGGCTATGGTAGGTAAAGACGGTTATTGTCAACGCGAATTAAGCCTAATTCTAAATAGGAAGCAAATAAGAATAAATAATAGGTTTGTCAAAATAACAAGCCACCGGTAAGGCAAAAAAGAAAAATGTAATGAAAAGTGTTGAAATTTACAACGTGCTTTATAGTGGACTCTGGTGTGGCATGCTTTGACGCGAGAAGAAAAAAAAGAAAATACTGCAACTAATTAATAAATCTTACCAGTTGAAAGGGAACAAGCAGGGTACAGCCAGATAACAGATATTACTATCAAGAAGAGCATTCCTTTAAATAATTGTAGTCAAATGCTGCGGACTCTTGAAGACATTAAAATATGATGTTAACATATGCAGTCAGAATTGACGAGCAAAGTAAGCCATGCATAACGAGCTTTCGCTTATTTATATTGCTCAGGAGACAAATTGTGTTTACCAATATAATTACGGAAAGAGAAAAAGCTAGAACTATCAACAGGGAACTGTGTCTGATCGATTGTGTGAAGAGATTTTTAATAAGTTTACGTGCCTAAGCAAACTGAGCTAGCTTTGAACCGTGTTCCCTTACTTTGAAAATGTAAAGCTATCAATCAAGAGTCAACCAATGATCGTTAAGTTCATCTTCAGCAAACCTAAAAACTGACTCCTTTCATTGAAATGGAACTTGTGCAAGTTGCGTGCTTTCAACATGGCACTTTTGCGAGCAAATTGCGAGCTCAAAGAAAACGCCTTCACTGCAGGCTAGGCTGAGAGCTTGCTACCAGACTCGGCCCGTTGCTTTTTTTATTATATGTTAATGACATACATCAATGCTCGAATAAACTTAAGTTTTATCTCTTCGCAGATGATACTAATATCCTTTATGCCGATAAAAACTTAAAGTCCCTAGAAAATATAGTAAATATCGAATTACAAAACCTCCACGAATGGTTAACATCCAATAAGTTAACTCTCAATACTACAAAAACTAACTTTGTAATCTTTCATCCTTATCAAAAAAAAGTCACTTACCAACCGAGCCTCTACATG